TTCCAGGTCAGTCACACACTAGGTAGTGAAGCCGGGTTCAGGATGAATAATCAGGGCAGAGTCTTATGGTTTATTTTCTTTATAAAGCAGCCACATCCTCAGTACAAATGCCTGACCCTTCCAACAATATGTAGAGAAAGACCCTTGCTTCCTGTGGGGAAGCAGTGGTCTCTCTGCAGACATCTGAGACCCCCTGCTGAATCAGATCTACAGTGCTCCAGTCAGCATTAGTTTAGCTGATGGCAGAGCTGTAGGTCAGACAGACACGGCAGGGGGAGAGACCACTGCTTCCACACAGAGAACAAGGGTCCGACCCTACATAAATGCTGGCAGAGGACCAGTTCTTTTATCTGTGGCTGCTATCAAGAGAACAAACAACAAAAATGAGACTTTTCACACTTTTTGATGCACCTGGAATACATTTAGCCGATTTAAACTAAAAACGTTCAACTGGACTTTACCTGTTACCTGCTGGCGGCCATCTTGGTGATAAGGTATGCCGCCGTTTAAATCGGGAAGCCGGGTGGTGAGTCTTTACAACCTGCCCGGCTTCCCAGCTAATCAGGAAGCCAGGTGGCGAGTCATTACTGTCAGTCAATCTTTTATGGAATAAAGATGTATCTGCACTATTAAATGAAGTGTGGCGCGTCACCTCTTTATCCTATTACAGGGATAGGCAACTTGCAAGACCAGCAGCCGCAGGCATGGCTCCCAGATATATAATGGGAGCCATATTGTAGTTTCGCCAGTGCCTACCCCTGACCTCTACTGTATTGGGAAAAAGGTTTTCGGCCTTGATATACTTTAAATGCAGTTTAGATATAATCAAATCAAAAGATGAACCGGCAGAAGTGCAGTAGGGAGAGTACATAATACCAAGCGAGTCCTCAAATGGCATTTGAATAAAATCTGTTTATTGTCAATAAAACATTCAGATGAAGTCAGACATGTTTGGTCATTAAGTTGCTTATTAAAAAAATCTCAAAGGCTGGTTAAAAAGAGTAACCCCTCCCCCTTCCCCAATATACATTTTTTAATAAGTATGTAAGATAACAGGACAATAAAAAGGAAAATTCTTGGAACTCATGGCAATTTTGAAAACATTTTTGGATGAGGGTTAAAATCCTCTGTTAGGTTTGCATTGCTCTGTGCACCCGCTGGGGAGAAACTCTTTACTTCCAACCCTGGTTGCCACCGTCAAGAGGACAGAGAGCGAAGTCTAAACCTATACACGGGTCATCGGAAAAGAAGGCAAAAGGGAAAAATCAGCAATGATGGAGGTTCCAACCCTTCCACAGATTAGAGTCCCATTTTAGTCCAATGTCATAATAGATTTTTAGGTATGAATAGGAAGAAGGGCAAAAAACTGCTAACCAATCAGATGTCAGATATCTCAACAGTCCAAGTTAGAGAACGGAAGGAATAGTCTAAATGGTTGTGGTGGACATCAGTGCATTATTATACACCATCCCCTGAAGGTAGACACATCCCCTTCCCTAAAGGTCCTCCTTAAGCTCATGACCTCAGCAACCATCTACTTGCTCACTCTAGATGCTCAGAATGAGATCCGTACAAAAGGGAAATTCCTCACCCTGGCGGGCCGAAAAGTATATAATTTCCTGTCACAGTACACCCGCATGTTGAATATGGCCTTGTAGAGCAAAGCCATCAAAAAGCTGCTCCAACCTAAAAGTAATTTAGAATGATTACTGTGGCCAAACTAGGAAGGGAAGGTTGGCATAACCCTTAGGGGTTTTTTACCCCTTAGATGGAAGTTTAAATGTTTTTTGAACCCGAGACCTAAAACGTCAAGAACTTTGTATATGCCATCTGTAAAGAGAAAGTTGTGGAAGAGTTTAATGTCACTTAATATGGACTTGCTTAAAAAAATGAGTCAAAACACTTAGGGGTCTAGAATAGAAATAGCTCCCTAAAAGTCCTCCGAGAGTACGTGTTACCTTCTAATGACAGTAGTGGTGAGCACACATTCCTCTAGGCTCCCAGGGAGAGCCTGAACTCAAACAAATGGTATACAAGTCTTTAGCTTTAGGGCCGTAGTGTCAACAGCCTTTGGCTTGTGCTGATGGCATCAAGTTGAGACACCTCTGAGATACTTCAGAATTCATCGACAGGCACCGCCGACCTTCAGTTAACCTTTTCTGGCCTGAAGTTGACTTCCTTCAAGTCGGTTTTGCGTTCCCATAGACTTGTATGAGATGCATAAGCCCCTTGACACAAACAAAAGGCCATCAACACAGGCCTTCAGTTACAACTAGGCCTCAGCTCATGAGTTTACGCATGTTTGGTGTCTCCCCGAGAGTACAGATGACAATCAGCCTGGAACTCCATGTAGATCTGGAATAAAGTTGGTCTGCTTTTCAACACAACAGGGTTCCATTAACGGTCCTGAACTCAAGTTATGCCCATCAAAAGCAAGTCTGCCACAGACGTATCTGCTAGGCCTCCCTGGTGACAGGAAGAATGGCACGAATGTTCACATGACCAGAGTAGGCGTTTTGTCAATGGAGGGACCAAGTAGTCTGGGGTAGACCAACGCCGGCCCTCCAGCTGTTTTGCAACTACAACTCCCATGAGGCATTTCAAGACTGACAGCCACAAACATGACTTTCCAGAGGCAGACGCATAATGGGATTGGTCATTTCACCACAGATGGAGAGCCGGTGTTTGCCTACCTCTGAAGCAGAGCATTCCTTATCCTCCTCCTTCACAAAATCATGTTTATTGCCAAGACACAAGAGCCCTTGGAAGCTGCTCTGTGGTAGCAACTATTGGCCACTGCTTGTCGCTATAGTAACTGCAGGAGCATGGACTCTCCTACAGTTCAGGACGCATTTTGGGCCTAGCTGTGACAGACATTCAGCAGTTAAGCAAGAGGTTTATTGTAAAATATGAAAGGGATTTCCAAAATCATAATAAAAAGGGACATTTACAGGCCAACTCTGCCAAATGCTTGGGGGGTGTGGGGATGTCAGGGCGTAATATAATGATTCCCTTCTATGACCCTGTTCTACATTCGTTGGAGTAAAAGTCCAGTGCTACACATTTCCCCAATGACAGAGGTATGTTCAGCAGGTTCACAATGGAGGGTACTGAGGAATGATGACATAAAACAGTCACCTCTCCTCCTCCACTTATAGACCAGCAGTGACATCACCCTTTAAAAGTAACCTTATACATGGCGCCATAAAGCAAGCAGGCCTCCTATTACCCCAACGTGCCATCACAGAGCCGACCTGTTCATCCAAGCAAAAATAAGGTGCTCAGTGACCAACTGCCAGGCCCCAACACTGAACATCGCAAATTGCAAGCTTCAGATAGCATCTTTGGGAAGGGGGCGGGTTCTTCAGTGACCCATCAAGCTGGAAAGTACTATAAAAAGGTAAGATGCACTCGAAGGAGCCTGCCAACCACCATCTGTGCTGTTACTTTACATGCCATGCTGTATGTTAGGTGATGCGTTATTTAAGCCAACCCGTCTTTTATTCATGCAGTGCAAAGCAACAGGTTCTCCTTGATCCTCCCCTTTCCTTCACGCACCCATTATTTTACCATTAGCCCGCCGAAGGCAGCAGAGGTCACCCTGGGTAAGCTACAAGTCCTCATGTGACAGCGTCAGTGCTTGGTGACTGGCCCACCACTGTGACATGTAGTCACATGTTCTTCCTCCATACCAGGAAGTACTGCAAATTTGAATGACTCCCGGTAGCTGAACGGCTCAGAGTAAGAACAATGGAAAGGCGAGTATGTGCTGCTGGAGCGGGGAAGAGGGATTAGTGTGCATGTCCAGGAGAGTGGATTTATTCTTAGTTTTGGAAAGGGTTAGAACCCCCATCTGTCTTTTTTCTGCTATCCAGGGCTCTATTAGGAGAGATTTCTTCTCACTTCCTGTCCTGTTGACAATTTCTCATCAGAGAGGAAGTGAGAGGACTCTCCAGCAGCAACACAGACACATTAGAAAAGGTTTCTTCTCACTTCCTGTCCTGCTGACATTTTACCAGACAGGAAGTGAAGAGAAATCTCCTACAGCAGCACAGACAAATAAGCTTTTCTTTGAGTAGAAGGCAGCTACAGCCCCTGATAGAAATAACAATCTGTCTGTCCCTGCTGGATATTTTCCCTCACTTCCTGTCTTGTAAAACAATTGTCAGAGATTCACCCTCTCCATTTGTCCTGGTGACACTTATTGCTGATGGTGAAAGAAAATCCCAAAATGGTGGACTGTCACCAGAACAAGAATAGATGGACAATAGTATTACCAAAGGTTTCCCTCTCTTTGGAAGGATTTCTTCTCCCTTCCTGTTGTAGCTCTGGGACAGGAAGTGAAGGGAAATCTACCCAAAGACAGACAGCGGTTATAGCCCTCCCTTAATCTATGCGGGCCTGCAATTCAGGACCCTCCTGGGAGGGATACCAGTAGCTACACAGCACTTTGGAATCCAGAGTGCCCCAAATTCTAAAACAGCAGCACCATGTTGCCGCTGTGGTTCATAATTTAACACCTAGAGATTATCGTCCGCGCACACAATATGCTACAAAATAGAATAGACTATAAAAAAAATTTAAATAAAAAAGTTCTTAAATAAAACTTCAGACTTCAACAAAAACAGAGCCGGCCTCTGAAAGTGCAATACCCATACGTGGCACATGAGGGCGCGGTCTCGGCTCTGAGAAGTCCGGTTGTGGGAGGGAATGTGCAAAACAGCAAAATCGCAAAAAAAGTAAATGCGAAATGCAAAAAAGGTCCTCGGTGTCACTGTGTACACCATTTTGGCCCCCTTCCAAAAAGGGGGCCCCGTCGAATCGAATGTACAAAAATGTTTCTGTGTCTAACACATTCTAGAACGGTCGCCGTCTCCTGGGGTCGTCAAGTAGTTGTTCGGTAGTCCCACTTTTCCTGTGGCAAAGGATTCTGGTCAATCAGGGGCCATCACAAAGGCCCTGGGTCAGAGTTTGTTTCATCAGTCTACAAGGCTGCCATCTTAGAGCATGGGCTGGAAGCCTTCGCCGCTGCCTGTTCGGGTAAAGTCCCGCTCGTATCGGGTCTCGCAGCTGCATTCTTCCACAAGGACCACCTCCTCCCAGGAAAGCCGGCCCCCGCGGCACTGTAGGGGCACAAAGATGCGTCTGGAACGCACGGGGGAGCAGGAGGTGCAAGGCTGAGACAGTCCGACTGGCCAGCCGGGGACGTAGAATGAGTTGCACTGGCCAAAGCAGAATTTGTTGGGGATCCGCACTGGGGCGCAGTTTTCCCTGAAGACATTCTAGAAGAAAAAAGGAGAAATAATTAGAACATAAGGACTCTTCTCCCCCTCTGTTCCTGGAGGGCCAGTACATTTATGATGTAAACATAGGCGCATTTAATGGCCATGATGAAATAACCAATAGCAACCAGTCAGCTCAGTGACAAAATCTAACTGGCTGCTCAGTTACTGCTCTCCATTCATCATATCTTCCAAACCCTTCAGTTTTGGGTGCAGCAGTCTTTAAAATGAACCCCAAGCACACAAGTTCCCCCAATTACAATAAGCCAGGCTTACTGCATATCACTTCAAAGAGAACCTGTCACCAGATCATTCATTTTAACAACAATGTTCCTATAAGCTTATATGGGCATTCATTATATTTTTATATCCTAAACATAAGAGGTGCTATGCTCCCTTATATCAAATACAAGAAAGATTCAATGTAAAATGTCATTTTTCACATTTGATCTTAGTTGTGATGTTTAAAGGGAACCTATGAGAGGTACATGGGGGCCGCCATTGCCAATCCCCTTCTGAACATGCTAACACACTGGTCAGCTGGGTTCATAAGTATCTGTTCACACCATTGAATTATGCTAATGCACACATGCCTGCACGCTAAGAGCACGCAGTTAACAAGTCGCAGCAACACACATTAGGTGTGCTGTGTTACCAAAGTCAATGGCACCCCAAAGTACCTGCCTAGGCATGTGCGTTTTGTGCAGCATAATGCAGTGCAGTGAAGAATACTGTATGCACTATTTTTTAACAGCACACCATAGTGTAACGCATTTTAGTCAGCTGCTGCATGTTGCAAAAAAATGAATGTTCCTACGCAGGTGTATTATGGTGCCTTTCACTTTACACAGCGTATCAGCACACCTAGTGCGCATTGCGGTGCCCTACTAAAATGTGTGCACAAAGCATCCACGTTCGCACACCGCAATGGTGTAAACAGGCCCTTAAGGTTTGGGTCAGTGTATCAGTAGTTAGAGTAAGGTCAGGCATTCATATGTGAATACTTGTTTCAGGAAAAGGACACAAATTATTGAAGAGGGTAGACATGACCCGGCATCTGCAGAAAGAGAAGCAGCAATGGTGGCCTCTATGTCTCAGGAAAGGTTTCCTTTGAAGGGGACCAGTTAGTAGCCCAATACAGCGGCTTCCCGTGTGTGTAGAATGGCCAGGTAGACCAATCACTGACCCTTGGATTGAACAAAAGTTCTGGAGCACTAACTAGGAATAACCCGTATTGATTCCACCACCCCAGAACCAGCATGCAGATGGAGGTTATTCTGAGACCGCTCTCTGAGCAGGGAAGACTGCCTAGCATATACTTCAAGGTACAGGCATCAGCCAATCACATAACAGAGAGGAACCATATACAAAAATATACTGCCTGCAAGCTGCAGACCGACAAAGGTTTTACCTGGACGAAAGGCAGGGCATTACACCGCGACCTCTTCAGTGCATCCTGTCCAATTGGCAGCACCTGGTCTGGATGTGACCTGGTCTTCTCTTTCTTGATGGTGTTCTCCCACACCACTTTTCTCCGTAAGGCACCTTCATCCATGTGGTCCCTGGACACCATACCCAGCATTCCTTGGAACAAAGGCTTTTCGGGATCTGCTTTGCCTCTCCTGACAAAAGGGGAATTTAGGAAAGCAAGCGGGGAGACGCCATTAGACCCACCAACGGAACTAGTGCGAGGTCTTCCGTGGTGGAAGTCCATTGGGATGTATGTTGACCCCTCTTCATTGTCGAATGGAGCTGAAGTCACTACGGCAGGAAGCAGGAGTATTACGAACTGTAGCAGAAACATCTTCTTGGGGTACAGTGCGTTTAGGAATGTACAATCTAGGGATCGAGACCCTTTCGTCTAGCTGGGTGAAGGGTCTGAAGAGACCCACGGTCGTAGGTTCAAGTTCTTTCCTCAGATACTGCAGAGGCTCTGCTTTATATACCCAGATGAGCCAAGGGGCTGAAGAAGAGCAAAGCTTGATGTAGAGAGAAAATTGCCACCTTCATCACACCTGTTACGAGGAACAAGAGAAAGGCTTGTTTGTATGGAAGATCTGGTGGATGGTTTCAGGCAACAAGACCTGTTTGAGTTTCATGAATGACAGGTGACACAGTGTCTGGACATAAACACATGACTAAAGAATGGAACCCAGAGCCGTCTACAGAAACAAGATACTAGCTGGTTACAGGGACCATTAGGCCTTGAAGGAGAAGGTTTCAACTAGATGCTTGGTACAGATAATCAGGCTTGTGGTGCCTACAGACAGAGAATGTTCATCTTGGTCAGACCAGCGAACATTTGTAAGTCTGTAGGCACCTTTGCGACCCTAGACAACAATTCCTGGTCAAGCATACTTGGAGAAAGTCGGTCTCCTACAAAATTCTACTTCTATGGTTTCCTCAAGGCAACCCTTTCCTTTCCCTGCACAGGCACAAACCCAAATCTGAGAGGGTTCATTCTGCTGGGAGGACGCCACTTTACTCGGATACACACAGAATTCCAGAGAAGGGTCTGATAAGCTTCCTGCTTCGTCAAAGAGCTCTTAGAAGACACTTCGCTCTTTGTCCGAAAGCTTTTAGTAGACGTTGGTATGTTGGGGTGCCATTGACTTTTAGTGTGCAGCCTTAGCTCTATCTTCATTTGGATGTTGTCTACGTTGGGAACAAGCCTAGATGTGCACCCAAGTTTCACTCGGTAAGCTATGGATGGACCAACCTGGAGCAGGTGCAGTGGCGTCCCAAGAGGGGTGCGTCCCGCACCCGGGTGTCAGCATTGCAGGGCTGATACCAAAATGACTGTAAGTCATTTTGGTGTCACCCCCCCTCTAAAAAGTCAGGCACTCGGTCATGGACTGAGAGCCTGACAATGTCAGGAGAGAGGAGGGGACCCGGCGACCTACCTCATCCCGCCAGGTGAACATCCCCTCCTCTCTCTGCCGGCATCCATCACCAAGATGGCCGCCGGCAGGCATCAATCAGATGGTTGCGCATGCCCGATGACGTCATCGCATGCGCGAGGTGACATCACGCACGATGACAACACAGCGGGGGTGTCACCCGGTCTAGAGACCGGGTGACACCCGACCTTGGGACGCCCCTGAGCAGGTGTTCTATCATATGGCAGGGGTGGACAAAGGAATATGGATATCAGGAGCCAATTTGTCCAATCCAGGAGCCAGAATTTGTATATAGAGGCCATCTCCATTGACAACTAGAAACAACCTCAAGAAGTGAAGGGCCTGCTATACATTTTTATAGACGCACTGACCACTGGTTCCAGGAATGTGTCCAGCCCTGTCATATGGTATACATGACAGACCAAATTAAAAAGAAAAGTTAATTATTGGGGATTACAGACACTTTAGGCTTTCATTTGTATCAAAAGCAATATGCATGCACCCATTGCTGACAGACGTCTGAAAACGCTGGTTGCCAATAGACATGTGTGATTCGTTTCGTTCAGATTTAAAATTCAGACATCCGGACACATCAGAATCCCAATGCATCCGAATTCCCGTTTCTGAATATCGGATTCCCGTCCGAATTTCGTTCAAATACGAAACTGAATCAGACATGTGACTTTTCTGGCCAATCAGATGTGTTTTTCGGTTTAATGCATCCAAACACGAATTTTCGTTATGGCAACATGGGAGCCATATGTTATATGGCTCCCATGTTACCGTAACGAAAATTTGTGTTCAGTATATAGATGGACTACTAAAGCGGAGGCTCCCAGACCCAAATGGCATTCGGGAGCTCCTGAATGCAATTTGGAAATTCGGATCCCGAATGCCATTCGGGTCTGGGAGCCTCAGCTTTAGTATTAATATCTGTATATGGTTATCTCTGGTTTTCGCAACGAATATTCGTAAACTCATCCGAAACTAAATGAAAATACCCACAAATTGACTTAGATGGGAGAGACGTTAGTACGGGGGCGGGCAACTTCGGCCCTCCAGCTGCTGCAGAACTACAAGTCCCATAAGGCATAGCAAGATTCGACAGCCACAGGCATGACTCCTAGAGGCAAAAACTTGCTGGGGTTTGTAGTTGCACCACAGCTGGCGGGTCAAAGATGTCCACCCCTGATATTAGAAAAAAAGCGATGCGATGTGCGGTCGATGTCGCCATTTTTACACAAGCCCCCAGGATGGAGGATTCTAGAAGGTTCTGTTCCCCCCAGAAGTATGGCAGCTGGTAGATACTGGAAGGAAGGGCCAGTTCTGATGCCTGTGAGGTGAACGGTGTATAGAAGATCAGAGGACAACAAACACAAGTGTATGCAGAGTTTACACTCCGGCCTGTAGCAGTGTGTACACAGGCCACAGACAAGCAGGTGACAGTTTCATCTACACCCAGTGGAGGGGACAACTGTCAGGCAGTGGAAGCAGCTCCGGCCCCAGGCAAAACATGGAAATGGTATACGAAGGGCCGCAACCCAACTCCCCAGCAGGACTGAGAAGATGGCGGAAGACGACCGGTTGCTATGGCTACCATGAACATACAAGAGCTCAGGTATGAAATGTTTTCTAACTGGTATGTTTCTTCTTGTCTGTATCAAACAATCAGAATCCTTGTTTCATTCAGAGTTTATCTGCCTCGTTTTCAGTCACAGCAACGTTTAAAAGTCTGCAAAATCTGGAGGAACCCCATACTAAAATGTAAAAAAAGCAGCGTGTGGCCCCTCCAAAATCAATACCAGATCCTTCTCTGTGATAGGGGGGTCTGGTACAGATTTTAAGGGGAGGCACCCGTGTGCAAAAAAAAAGTGGGGTTCCCCCTTCACATCATTAGTCCCCCCGCCTTTTATATGAGAGTCCTCAGTGCCCCATCACATGCAGCATGGCAGAGGGCAGGAGGTGGAGCAGGCCAGAGGCGACCTTCCGTCCTCTTCTGAATGGATCCCCCTCCATGGATTAGCGTCATTCATTTCCATGGTGATGGCAGCCGTCCCACCTACATAATGGAAAGGCATGACATGACACCGAGTGAAAATTTAGGGGTGCCCCTGAGGAAGCCAGAAGACACCCTGGATGAGAAAGTCTGAATACATATGTACAGGCCATGTATGCATTGCAAAATGTATGTTGTACAATAAAGCAATTTTGTATATTATACTACCCCCCAATACATTATATTGTGGAGCAATTACCCCACGCACATACGCATGTTTACACATTGACATCAGGGCTTAAAGTGACACTTTATTAACCCTTGCAGTGGAGCTGCCCCTGCACTGCAAGGGTTAGGTGCTCCTTTGTGTCTAGGAGCTTAAATATCAAAGCTATACTCACCCAATCATCTGAGCTGGCTGCCGCCGACAGCGCTCCTTCCAGCCTGTCTCCTCCTCTGCTGCAGCAATGGAATCTTTCTCAGCAGCCTCACGTCTATACACTGTGTATAGACATGATGATTTATGGGACCTTAGACCGCAGCAGAGGAGGGGGAGAGGCATTGAAAAGACCGGTCTATAAGCATGTTCTGAGATTCGGGCGAGTATAACTTTTTTGTACCTAGACACAAATGAGCACTTAAACCTTGCAGTGCGGGGGCAGCTCCATGGCAGGGGTTAATAAACTATTCCTGGAGTTCTTCTTTAAATATTAATAATGAATCTTTTATAACAATGTAACAACAATGTATCTTATTTGTATATCACTCGGCTGTAGATCCTCCAATCATCTCTGAATTGGTGCGGACACTGTCCTTCCTTCTGGAGGGGGGCTACTTTTCTTCTCCATGGTCCCCGTGTGTGTTGTAAAGTAGTCACCGCTCCAAGCTCGCTCCCGTGATGGACTACAATCCCAATACAAAAGGAGTAAACTAAACATGACATTGTAGTCCATCACAGGAATGAGTTTGGAGCGGTGACTACTTTACAACACACGCAGGAACCATGGGGAACAATAGTAGCCACCCTCCAGAAGGAAGGACAGTGTCAGCACCAATTCAGAGATGATTGGAGGATCTACAGCCGAGTGATACACAAATAAGATACATTTTTGTTACATTGTTATAAAAGATTAATTATTAAGATTTAACTCCAGAGTTCAGGGTCAGGTTAAATAAAGTCCAAACAGGAAAATTACATTGAAAACATGGAGGGGGATGGGAGAGATATATATATATATATATATCATCTTCCATACAAGTGATACTTGTGAATTTTTGGGGTCACCCCTTGCTGCCTCCCCTGTGTCACCCCCACATTGTACTCACAGAAGTTTGCTCAGTAATAGATCTCCTCCATATCTAATCTTTACTAACAGCAACCTGTCACAGCAATGTCCTCCCCTGTGCACCTCACACCTGCACTCCACTCCCCTCCCCTTCCACACCTTCTCACTAATATAGCTAATTAGTGTCATAAGCACCAATCAGGGGGAAACCAGAACAGGCATTGCTGAGGACACCTTTCTCCCTGACAGAATCCGGCACTGCGCGGGACGCCTTGATTAGGACCCACGTAGACTTCTGCGCTGCTTCGGCACTTCCGCCACACTCTCAGGACCCCTGTCACAAAACCCGGGTTGAAGGGGGTTTCCAAGATGGCGCTGCCCATGCAGCGGTGCTGGTCTAGGTTGCGGGCTGTGACCTTACCGTGGCCGGCGGCGGGTTATCATGCCAAGCCGCTGAATCTCAACCTGAGTGGCGTCTACATCCCCGATCCTGAGGACCCCAAGACGAAGGAGTGGCACAAGGGTCCGGCCTATGAGGCCAAGCTGTACGGCAAGTATGGCAGCATCTCGGGGGTGAAGCCTGAGCAGCTATGGCCGAGCCCCGAGCAGCTGCAGGCGCTGGAGGATGAGGAGAAGGAGTGGTACCCCAGCTTGCGGGAGATGCAGGCCAAGGTGGAGGCCGAGGAGAAGGCGCTGCGGATGAAGGAGCAGGAGAGGTCAGTGCCAGCAGGAGTCCTGGCCCCATATGAATACAATAAGAAATGTGACTTTATTTACTATAGAAGCCTGCAGAGCATTGCAACCGTGATTAGAGCTTTGCGGGTGCAATCTGCACGCTTCTGCATTGTTTACATCCCAGGTCTGTTTGGGGGGTACGGACCTTCTAATATGGGGCTAGAGGATGTAAACAATGGACTGTGACAAGTCAGGGACGTCACCCCACTGATGCCAGCACCATCTGTGAGTCCCTCTGCTATGGTGGGGCTGGTGAGTGTGCTGGGAAATTTCTGCCCTTGGAAACAAAAACGGGATAAAAAGCTGGAGTTCCACTTTAAAACACTTAACTGTTACCATCCATAGTGCGGGCACAGGAGCACTTTAAGGTACAAAATTGTGGATTTATTTCACCCAGTGTGAAGACCATTAGCGTATTACGTACTCTAGAGAATACAAATCTGCAGGACTGTAGTCTCTCCTAAAATCTTGTACATTATATATATATATATATATTATATATTTTTTTAGTGTTATTCATAAAAGCGATAGTGTGATTGTGAATGGAAACAACCTTTCTGAAATATTACGGCCCCTTGGTCAGGTCTGCCTGCCAGTTTGTATGGGGCATCTAAATGGAAGCCCAATGTTACTCTATGGGCAGCCGGATCTACATGTGTCCATTTACACCTCACCGGCCAGGTCCAGAAAACAAAACGGAACAGATTTCTGTTATGGCGGACCTGATCGAGATTGGAGTGGAGGGAATGGTATGTAAACTGACACGTCCGCTCACATCTGACCCCCCCCGTAGACCTAACATGGGTCCGTACAGCTCCAGATTTGAAGTCCATCGATGTCAGAAGAGTGGCATGTGCTCTGTACTAGAGCTGCAGCTAACGATTATTTCTGCTCCTCCTTACTACATCTCCCCATGTCCCTGTGCCGATCATGGATGTGGGGGGGTGATAAGTGTGAGGCCGAGAGGAGGCGCGGCGTGTGGATGCGGGCGGGTCTGGCAGCGGTGAGCGTGAGGTGGGGAGGAGGTGCGGCGCACAGCGTGTGGAGCTGTGAACAGGGCCAACTGGTCGGAAGCCGATTAATCGATTATTGAAAAAGTTGACAACTTTTTCAATAATCGATTGTCGATTAGTTGTTGCAGCCCTACTCTGTACTGCTCTGATCAGCAGGGGATGTGTTCACTGACCCCCCCCGCTGATCGGAAAGGACAGCGCCCATCTGAAAGGAGCCCACGAGGAGGATATTCTACTACTTTGTTTATTACGCCGTGCATGCAGCTTTGATTCAGGAATGGAGACTGAACTCATTTCTAATAACTCTTTATTTCTAAATAGGGAACGTCTGATTGCTGCCAACATGAAAAAGATGCCAAAGATGGTGGAGGAATGGCGCAGAGCGAAGCGAGAGGCACGGCAGAAGGCGCGGGAGGAAAATGCCAAGAAGCAGCATCTGTTGGCACTGGCTCGTGAGAAGTTTGGTGTCAGTATTGATAGCCGCAGTGCTAGGTTCCAGGAGATGGTGAAGGAGATGGAGAAGGAAGAGAAGAGGAAATTAAAGGCTGTGAAGAGAATACAGCGCGAGGAAGAGAAAGCGGCCATTGCAAAAGCCTTAAACGTGGCCTCCGCTGCAAAACCACCAACAGCCCCAGACAGTGGCAGTCCTGAGTAATGCCGTGTTATCCACATTCATCGAGAGACTAATACAGAGGAAAAAGATGCGTTTCCATGGCAGCCCAACACTTTCCATCTTCTATACGGCTCTAGGAACAGGTCAGCTCCTCTACTTCCTGGCCGTACTAGAAAAGGGAACACGGGAGAGGAATGTCTACAGGCGGACATTCAGAATAATGTTTCAATGTATGTAATGGTTCCTATACAGAGAGTTTCTAATAAAATGGTCTACAGCTGACCTATTCCTTTCTGTTGCTGAATTCAGGGCGATACTCTTGTAGATGTTACATCGCATTAAACACTTCTCAAATCTGGCAGCCAGCCAAAAAAAACAATTTTAATTCCCTTTTTATCAGTTTATAGTAATCTGAGCAATTCAACTATTGTTAACCCCTTCATGACTGAGGCCCTTTTTTCAATTTTTGCACCCATGTTATATTCCACATTTTAGGCCTGAAAATGACGTAAAACCCCCCAACATTATATATTTTCTGAATGCCAAGACCCTATAGAATAAAATGGTGGTTGGGGGCGGCCCCTTCTTCGGGACGCAGAAGCGATCTGGCGACAGGTAAGTCGCCAGGATCGCTTCTGTTGTAAAGCCGACAGTCGGCTCTACAAGTTTAAACAGAGTCCCGGCGGCAAAAGTCGCCGGGAGTCTGTTTAAACAGCCCCGATGCTGGCGACGTACACTGTACGTTGTCAGTCACGAAGGGGTTAAAGTACATTACCCATGGCTTCTCTTTTCCTGTCTGTCACCCTGTGGTAGGAGGGGCCAGACTCCCATGTCACATAGCTCCCCCTGTCTGTGTCCCCCTGTGGGGGGGGGACAGACTCATGTCACATAGCTCCCCCTGTCTGTGTCCCCCTGTGGGGGGGGGACAGACTCATGTCACATAGCTCCCCCTGTCTGTGTCCCCCTGTGGGGGGGGGACAGACTCATGTCACATAGCTCCCCCTGTCTGTGTCCCCCTGTGGGGGGGGGACAGACTCATGTCACATAGCTCCCCCTGTCTGTGTCCCCCTGTGGGGGGGGGACAGACTCATGTCACATAGCTCCCCCTGTCTGTGTCCCCCTGTGGGGGGGGGACAGACTCATGTCACATAGCTCCCCCTGTCTGTGTCCCCCTGTGGGGGGGGGACAGACTCATGTCACATAGCTCCCCCTGTCTGTGTCCCCCTGTGGGGGGGGGACAGACTCATGTCACATAGCTCCCCCTGTCTGTGTCCCCCTGTGGGGGGGGGACAGACTCATGTCACATAGCTCCCCCTGTCTGTGTCCCCCTGTGGGGGGGGGACAGACTCATGTCACATAGCTCCCCCTGTCTGTGTCCCCCTGTGGGGGGGGGACAGACTCATGTCACATAGCTCCCCCTGTCTGTGTCCCCCTGTGGGGGGGGGACAGACTCATGTCACATAGCTCCCCCTGTCTGTGTCCCCCTGTGGGGGGGGGACAGACTCATGTCACATAGCTCCCCCTGTCTGTGTCCCCCTGTGGGGGGGGGACAGACTCATGTCACATAGCTCCCCCTGTCTGTGTCCCCCTGTGGGGGGGGGACAGACTCATGTCACATAGCTCCCCCTGTCTGTGTCCCCCTGTGGGGGGGGGACAGACTCATGTCACATAGCTCCCCCTGTCTGTGTCCCCCTGTGGGGGGGGGACAGACTCATGTCACATAGCTCCCCCTGTCTGTGTCCCCCTGTGGGGGGGGGACAGACTCATGTCACATAGCTCCCCCTGTCTGTGTCCCCCTGTGGGGGGGGGACAGACTCATGTCACATAGCTCCCCCTGTCTGTGTCCCCCTGTGGGGGGGGGACAGACTCATGTCACATAGCTCCCCCTGTCTGTGTCCCCCTGTGGGGGGGGGACAGACTCATGTCACATAGCTCCCCCTGTCTGTGTCCCCCTGTGGGGGGGGGACAGACTCATGTCACATAGCTCCCCCTGTCTGTGTCCCCCTGTGGGGGGGGGACAGACTCATGTCACATAGCTCCCCCTGTCTGTGTCCCCCTGTGGGGGGGGGACAGACTCATGTCACATAGCTCCCCCTGTCTGTGTCCCCCTGTGGGGGGGGGACAGACTCATGTCACATAGCTCCCCCTGTCTGTGTCCCCCTGTGGGGGGGGGACAGACTCATGTCACATAGCTCCCCCTGTCTGTGTCCCCCTGTGGGGGGGGGACAGACTCATGTCACATAGCTCCCCCTGTCTGTGTCCCCCTGTGGGGGGGGGACAGACTCATGTCACATAGCTCCCCCTGTCTGTGTCCCCCTGTGGGGGGGGGACAGACTCATGTCACATAGCTCCCCCTGTCTGTGTCCCCCTGTGGGGGGGGGACAGACTCATGTCACATAGCTCCCCCTGTCTGTGTCCCCCTGTGGGGGGGGGACAGACTCATGTCACATAGCTCCCCCTGTCTGTGTCCCCCTGTGGGGGGGGGACAGACTCATGTCACATAGCTCCCCCTGTCTGTGTCCCCCTGTGGGGGGGGGACAGACTCATGTCACATAGCTCCCCCTGTCTGTGTCCCCCTGTGGGGGGGGGACAGACTCATGTCACATAGCTCCCCCTGTCTGTGTCCCCCTGTGGGGGGGGGACAGACTCATGTCACATAGCTCCCCCTGTCTGTGTCCCCCTGTGGGGGGGGGACAGACTCATGTCACATAGCTCCCCCTGTCTGTGTCCCCCTGTGGGGGGGGGACAGACTCATGTCACATAGCTCCCCCTGTCTGTGTCCCCCTGTGGGGGGGGGACAGACTCATGTCACATAGCTCCCCCTGTCTGTGTCCCCCTGTGGGGGGGGGACAGACTCATGTCACATAGCTCCCCCTGTCTGTGTCCCCCTGTGGGGGGGGGACAGACTCATGTCACATAGCTCCCCCTGTCTGTGTCCCCCTGTGGGGGGGGGACAGACTCATGTCACATAGCTCCCCCTGTCTGTGTCCCCCTGTGGGGGGGGGACAGACTCATGTCACATAGCTCCCCCTGTCTGTGTCCCCCTGTGGGGGGGGGACAGACTCATGTCACATAGCTCCCCCTGTCTGTGTCCCCCTGTGGGGGGGGGACAGACTCATGTCACATAGCTCCCCCTGTCTGTGTCCCCCTGTGGGGGGGGGACAGACTCATGTCACATAGCTCCCCCTGTCTGTGTCCCCCTGTGGGGGGGGGACAGACTCATGTCACATAGCTCCCCCTGTCTGTGTCCCCCTGTGGGGGGGGGACAGACTCATGTCACATAGCTCCCCCTGTCTGTGTCCCCCTGTGGGGGGGGGACAGACTCATGTCACATAGCTCCCCCTGTCTGTGTCCCCCTGTGGGGGGGGGACAGACTCATGTCACATAGCTCCCCCTGTCTGTGTCCCCCTGTGGGGGGGGGACAGACTCATGTCACATAGCTCCCCCTGTCTGTGTCCCCCTGTGGGGGGGGGACAGACTCATGTCACATAGCTCCCCCTGTCTGTGTCCCCCTGTGGGGGGGGGACAGACTCATGTCACATAGCTCCCCCTGTCTGTGTCCCCCTGTGGGGGGGGGACAGACTCATGTCACATAGCTCCCCCTGTCTGTGTCACCCTGTGCTGGGGGGACAGACTCATGTCACATAGCTCCCCCTGTCTGTGTCACCCTGTGGTGGGAGGACAGAATCCATGTCACATAGCTCCTCCTGTCTGTGTCACCCTGTGGTGGTAAGGACAGACTCCATGTGACATAGCTCCTCCCTCCTGCATCACCCTATAGTTAGATCTGGGCTAACTATATCGGAAACTGAATTTACAACAGAGACAGAACACGTGGCTACATTTCTGATGTAGGTTGTGTTCCCATCAGGATTCATATTATTACAATAAAATCTCCCAAATGCCTTTCCCTGAGATCTCATGAGATTTCCCAGCAATGTTCCGATGTAATCTTCCCAGGATGCAACTCTTGGGCACATTATATCTCTTATGTCCAAGAAGTGGAAAAACAAAAATTGTAAGTAAAATAAAGATATATATATTACCTAATGAATGTGAGAGGATTTCATATAATCATGCTGAGCTGTAGGCAGAGGTGATTTTTAGTGAAAGGGGGTAAAAGGTCCATTTTGTAGCAGAATGGGGCCTTAGGCAAGGAAGCAGTTTTGCCCCCATCCCCCCATTAATATAGATTGCAATCGGCACAGGTTGGCTACCTCCATCTGCATTGTCTGTGCTGGCATGGATCCCCTACATCAGACAACAAATGCCGAGACGTACATCCTGCCTTAAAACTGACGGGTTGGTGCTCAGCTTTGACCAAATGCACCATCTTCTGGTTTACTGCAGAAACATGAAGGTTGTAGCTGGGCCCCCTGGACCTTTGCCAGGCTCTGGCTTCTGCCTAGGTTGCCTTGTGGACAATTTGCCCCCTTTGAATAGTCTGAGTTGAGAAAGATGCGCATCACACTGGAAACTGAGTCAATGTCATTGTTGCCATCATGATATAAAGACAATACAGCTTTATCCAAAAACTATACAATTTATTACATTTACAGGCAAACACGCTAATGATTAGTACCGAGCGGCAGGAAACTCCCAGCCGTGCTCACTTCAAATACTTCCCACCGACTCCATTTTTCCATGAAGGTAATTGAAATAAATACAGAAATGCAGAATGAAACGGGAACAAAACATTGCAACATTTATAACTACCATGTACTAAAATACAGACCCGTCCTTATATTTCCGGAAGGGTTCTTTATATTGCAAACTTCGCCATTTTTAATTTAAATAATTAGTGACAACGTGTGTTTACCAAGCCAGAGAGATGTCCCTGTTTTACAAACATATCTTATGATCGGTATTCAGTTATTATATTACATTAGTTACAAACGGTTGTCCTCCGAGGCCACTGAAGGAAACCTGTACTGGGAATAAAGAAATGAAGATGACGGTTGGGTGACGTGTAACTATAAAAGTAGTAGAGGATCCCCCTTCCTGAGTCAATGGACCCCGCAGACTTTCCTATGCAGATACCCCCTTTCTGAAAGTCAGTATTTACATAGGTTGGACATGCCCTTCCCATGCCAACTCTTGTCTGCTTA